ATGATCTATATATACCCCCTCCCTGGGAGACAGACAACAGAAAAGTGGGTGAAGGGAACTTGCTGAAGTCAGTGTAAGACAGTGTAAGACATGGAAAAAAATAATAATAATTTATAAATTATCAAGGGTTCCTAAGGGAGGGGAAAAATGAGGAGCTGATATCAAGGACTCAAGTAGAAAGAAAATGTTTTGAGGATGATGGCAACAAATGCTTGACACAATGGATGGATGGATGCATTGTGACAGGAGTTGTATAAGCCCTCTATAAAATGATTTTTTTTAAAAAGACCTAATAAGAATTAGGTTTCAGTGCAGTCACAAGTCATCCTTTGCCATTTTTAACAGCAGCATTTCTAAACCAACAATATTTTATTAAAAAGGACAAAGTAACTTACAAAAAAAGGAAAACACAGTGTAGCAACCAAGATCCAAAGAGTTCTGCAGATCTAAAATGTGGAACTAGAAAGCTTGACAGGAAACATAGCTGATTAAGCTAACCCCCCCATCATTAATTGTCAATGCTTGCTCTTATTTTTGAGGATTTTCTTTGGTTCCTATATGACTATTGAAAACAGATACGCTTGAAAAGTTAGAAAGAATGTATTTAAAGATTTGTTCATGGCAGTTTGAACTCCATAAAAGATTTGTAAAATGTTGTTTCGGATTTTATTGGCTTAAAGGGGAGAGGATAGCAAATTTGAAGTATTTTGCTATTTCTAATACAATTCACCTTCCTGAGGCTTCACAGATTTTTCAGGTAAAGGTGAAAACTGTACATGTACACACATTTTTATGTATATATTTACATATCTAGTTGCCACTGCTGGAAGAAAACAACTGCCCTCACAAAAAGTGAAACCAAAGAGTGTTATTCCAAACACAATAGTTATGTGAACGTCTCCAACCCGATCTTTCATGTCCATTTAAACTGAGACCTGTAGTTAAGGCCTCTTCCGCTCAGGTAAATTACCAGAGATCAAGTTTCTCACATCTGTGACGCTCACCACAAGTTGCAGTTACTGCCGATTAAGAGCCAGAGATTAATTGTTGGAAATGCCACATAATAGCTGTAGTAGAAAACTTTTTAACACAGAACCACATTATGGATTTAACAGCTGTGTCGGTCTAACAGTTTTCACGATATTTCGCCATATGGTAACACGGATCATTTTTCACTCTGAAGACATTAGCAAGAAGTGATGTCCTGCAACAATATTCCCAATATACCTTCACAGCCATGCTCCTCAGTATCCTCCTGTTTCTGGACTCCCTATTTCTTTAGTTTTCCTCAAAATCGTTCATATTCTATATGTGCACTTTTAAATTGGTGTCAACTGAGTCCGATATATATACATACATACATACATACATACAAGAGTAGAAAAACTATGGACTATGGCCTGGCAAAAAAGAGGTAGGCTATAAAATCCATTTAGATAAAACCATAATGGGCTTTGGAACTTGCTAAAGTCAGAGAACTGACTTCCTAACTCATCTTTTTCCCCGGTAGCTGTCTTCATTGAGAACGAATTACTTCTCAGGAAAAACAGGGTTGGTAATTGTGATTTTATTTAACCTGCTATCATAACCGATCATCATGATTTTGTGAAAAAAAGCTAGGAATTTTCACATGTACATTTAAAAGGGGGCCACAATAAAATCTCACCTATTTTTTTAAAAATGTTCGAACGGAAGACCTATCCATTTCAGGAAGGGCACATTATTGCCACCAACGTCTTAGCAAGACAAACAGGAAGAGTCTGGTAGCTGTTAAGTCTGTGAACCTATCCGCTTTACAGCACATCACTAAAAGTTCTTAAAAAACACAAACACAAAACTCACTGCCATCAAGTCCACTGCGGCTCACAGCAACCCTACAGAATGGAGAGAATGACCCCTTTGGGCTCCCGAATTTGAACTCTTTATAGGAGCAGAGAGCCTAACCTTTCTCCTAAGGGGTGGCTGGTGGGCTATCCCTGTGGATCGTAGCTCAGTCCATATCACCCGAGTTTCTAAAAGCCCTTCAACAGAACCTAAAAACGACGATGTGACCCAAGGATGCTTTCACACTGTCTACGTTTGCAGCACACTCAGGATGATTAGCGGTGGCTCTCTACTGTGCTGTGAAAATAAAGGGCAGGGTAGCATAAATCGCTAGGTTCTAAAAATTTAAATTTAAAAAGTGACTCTGTAAAAACGAGCATTATACACGATCACCACCGCAGACCATGTTTTCTCTGTTTAGAAGGCAAGTCCAGTCTCTCTTCCAGGAGCCCTGAATTTAAGATCACATTTCTAAAGTAGTTCTGATGTGCTAGAACCAAGCTGTACCCTTGTTTCTTCTTTTTCCCGAAGCCTGTGCCTCCTCAAGTGAAACAATAAAGATAAGATTTCAATCGATGGCTGTTCCAGGTACAGGTCACCACCCTGCTGCAGGTACAGAGAGTTCTCTTTCCCACTCACTGTGCCTTCTCGTGGTTCTGCACCATCCAGGGACTTGAGATATTATTTCCTTGTGTAACCTTTAGGTCTCTGTGTATTTAATTAACAAATTATGTTTATTAACCTCCAGTTCACACCCTCCAAATGTCTTAAGTTGTCATTCTGAAGCACATTTACACAAATAAAGATTAAGTAACAGAACATTAATCTTGCCTCTGTCACTCAGGAGTCATGACCACTTCACTTATCTGTGTTTTTATATTTACCTTTTTTTATCATAACCATTCTCAGGAGCAGAGGCAGAATTCATTATTGTAAGGCACGTTACAAGTTTTCAATGACTATTTAACTTTATCATTAAAACTGTTTTAATTTTGGTTGAACTCACAGTACCTGCCTACAGTACACCTGTCTTAATTGCAGGGTTATCATAAGCATGTGAAACTTATTTTATAGAAGGTGCTAGCAAGCACACAAACCAAAAAGCTTAAGTACACTGGAAGCCAAGGTGGGAGTATAAATTATGATTCAACATATTAACTACCCTAAGGTGGGCCATCGCAGGCCTCACAATCTTGTTCCAGTTTATATTCCCAGCTTAGCTACCTTTTTCTGCATAAAATAAAAGTTACAAATCTTCATAGAATACTATGTGCCAGGTACCAGTCTACACGCTTTAAATATATTCATTTAGTGCTCAAAGCCCACCCAATGTCTATTCCAGATCATTGCGATTCTGGGTAGGGTTTACGAGACTATAAATCTTTAAGGGAGCAGAGAGCCTGCTCTTTCTCCTAAGGCATGGCAGATGGGTTTGAACCACCAACCTCACAATTAACAGCCCACTGCCTAATGCACAACTCCCTTCAGGCTTCTAGGGTTCTAACCAAAATGGGATTTTTCTTTTACAGTTGAGACAATGACAGCACCCAGAAGTTCCCTCATCTGAGTTCACAAAGCTAATGAGTGGCAGAGCGCAGTCAATGGAGCCCCAGCGAGTGTGGTCTTACTGTACGATAGGTTAGCAGTGGAAAAAACAGACACACAAGGCAAAAGCCCTAGACAAGGGAGTTTAAAAGATTATGTGACCTAGAGGGAGGTGGGCAACAGCTCTGGGTTTCAACCTAAGTCTCGTATTTTCTAATTCAAATATTCTGTTGGTAGCACATGGCCACTTCACTTTTGGTGGAAGTAGCCCAAAACCCAACTGAGACATTTGTATGCATGTAAAAACATGCTGAAGTGACCATAAAAATTGCCCTTATGCAATTAAGAAGCAGTACTAACAAGGAAAGATTGATGAGAATTGCACCTCACCTGTATTACGTTTGGGCTTCTTATCACATTCTTAGGAACAAGTTTTCCTCAGGCCCATCTACCCCCTTTAAAAAGGTAACACATTATAACACATTTTTGGAAAATAAACTAACAAACTAAGTCTACGAACTACTTTTTAGACCTTCATATCAATTTTTAAAAAAAACAATCTTTGCCATGAATTATCTTTTCGTTTATCATTTGAAACATTTATCTTTGCCATGAATTAAAAGTATTTTTTCTTGGAGCTAGGTCACAGCATACAATGTTTCAAGAACATCAAGGAAAACTTTGGAACTTATGAGAATCTTCTGCCAATCAAATGTACATACCAATTGATCATACATTCTTTCCTGATAAGTAGAACTGATAAATAGGTTCTATACAATCCATAAGTACATGAACTTGAATTATAAATGCACTTCAATCTCATACATGTTCCTCTGATCACCTGGCTTAATTTTATAAAGTCACATTCTCCTTTTTAACCATCATAATTCCCTAGCTGCAATCACTACTATAGAAAATTGCCTGATAGCTTCCTAATTAAAAAATATTTCACCAAGTCTTAAGACTCCTGACATGTTCAAAATGTAAATTTTTAGTATGTCGACCATTTGGCATGTACGCTACTGTGTATTGCGGCCACAATAAAAAAACGTTGTAATGCATTTGCTTCATTGAGTCTTTATACAAGAATAGCTCTTAAAGAAGGAAGGATTGTTATGCAAATACGGATCGACATCTGATGTATTTTCAAATTTCAATTATTGCCATTTTGGAGTTACAGTGCAGGCGCTGCTCTCACATAAAAAGTGTGGCAGGCTTCAAAATGAAGTAGCCGTTCTTCAAAAGTCTAACGTTCCAATAACCATTATTAGAATTCGCTCTCTAAATTCTCCTAGCTAACCTGTCACAGTATTTTGAGAACCAACTTCATAGTCAAACTTCCCACCTGTATTGCACTTAATTCTTAGTTGCTAAAGAAAAGTTAAAGAAAGGTGGAGTTTTAAATTCCGTAAAAATTACTTTAATAAAGACTGCCTAGAAGGTTTTGCTCTTACTGAGAGCACTGTAAAACTACAGGTTTCTTTCTTTTGGGGGTGGGGTGGGGTGGGGTGTTGAACAGCATTGCAGATGAACTTTTGCCCTGAACGCTACCTTTTGTGATAAAAGCCACAAAATCAAATGCTAACTGAGCACCCTGTCAGCACCGCATTGTGATCCCCTGATCCCCTTACCCCTCACGCGCATGGACAGGAGAACCAGCCAGGAAATGTGAAGCTGCCAGTTTAGTTCTTCGGGCCAAGCCACTGCAGCAGGGGAGCCGGGAATGGGACTGCCGGGTTGAGCCTCCTGTTTCTTGCCTTTTCTTCCTTCACTGCGTCCACGCTGCTGCCATTCCCGTCAGGTCTTCCGGGCGAGCCTGCCAGCAAGTCTGAGACAGGACCGTGACAGACAAGCCTGTTACAAATGGGCTCTGTCACTACAGAGACTGCCAGGGATCACCTCGTGGGGAGGGCAACAAAGGGTGGGGAGGACCCCAAGCCAGACTGTCTTCTTAAGAAAGGAGTCTGACCCAGCTGCCCACACAAGGGCCGGTGTACATGGGGGCTTCTCTGCGTCAGCAACCCCGACGCCCTCAAATCTCTTAAGTACTCAAACCAAATCACACCTACACTCTGCTGTCATAAAACAGCTCATTTCACTTGTCAGAGGTTTTCCCTGCCTCTCTTGAGAATTGTAACTGTTGGGAATATGTAAAAATACAAGGAAAATTCAATTTTGGCAACATATCAAGCCAAACACATCAAAGCTTTCTCACACGGTATCAGTATCGGCACTTAAATAGGACAAACGAGAAAGAAGGGCCACATCTACAAGGCATCTTTATCAATATTTCCCACTTTGAGTATTCTGGTTCCAGTTTTCACTAATTGATCTTTAAATGACTATCATTTTATGTTTTCTATATCAAAGTAAATAAGTGTGTAAATCTAACCAACCTTTTATCAGCAGATAAAACCATTGTAAAGTCTTCATGTTTTTAGATTTTAACTGTAATTGCCTCTCAATGTAAACTATGAACATTCTGTATATTTTAAATTTTCATTATTGGCAAAGGGTTTTTCTTTCCCCCAACACTAATAGCAAACTTGGGCTAGGGGGGAGGACCCACTTATTTTATTTTTCTTTAGGTATTATGGAAGCAGATGAAGAGCAATAAGGATCAATGAACTGCCAGTGTGTGCAAACTTACAAGGTTTTCAATAAAGCGATAGTACAAAAGTAAGTATTAAGTTCCCATTTACTGATATTTGCTATATGAGCATGAGAGTAAAGGCATAGTTCAAGGGTATTACCCTAACAAATCAACATAATACTTTTACTTGATATTTTATAAAAGTGTTTTCTTGAGGGGGAAAAAAAGAATCTATCCTGTCTTCTCATTTTAAAGAGATTTTATACACACACCCCACCCCACCCTGAACTTCCCAGTATTGCTCCACTGGGCACCATTCAAATGTATTCTATGGTAGGGCATACGCTGGAATCAAATAGACAGCAAGTAACAACAAGAAGTACTCACATTAGTACCACGATCTCAGTTCACCCTTTTAGGAGTTCAAATGTAACAGACACATGATATCTTGAACCCCATAGGCGATCTTAGATGGAGCTTCATTAAGTTAACATTTTAAGTTTCACTGATGCCACACAACTTACCAGCTCAGAAAAGGTTGGTGGGAGAGTAGAAAAGAGCTAGTTTTCCCACTAGTGTCCACATCATCCCTTTTTGCCAGGAAGGGAGAACGGATTCCACTACACTGAGTAAAGGTGACCAAGAGCAGAAGGAGAGCATGTGAGAAAAGCAGATGAAAATCAATCAGCAGAATCTGTTGTTCAAGCCCCCTGCATTAGGCTCAGAGCCACATTCACAACATGGTTCCATTGCCAATCTGGAAACCAGCCTTGAGCTGTGGAGTGAGGGATGAATAGCTGAAATGTGGGACAGCTCCTACTGCTCTGTTCCGCCAACAGGGGCATCCGCGACTGGTTCAAACAGGAAAAGGGAATCTTTTCTCTCGCCACAGAATTCTAATTCAAATCAATTCACATCACCGGCCACTTCTGAAATTGTACCATGTCCCAGATGAAGTAGATATACTTAGGAAGCTTTCAATACTACTTTTTAAAAAAAGGGAAAATGTGGTATAATGAATAATTAAGCTGGGGGGAAAAGTCAGTTATTTTAGATGAAGGGACCCAAAATAAAAATGAAAATTCAGAGTAAGTTCTGGATTATTTAGGCCAAAATTCAGAAGGAAAGCTAGATGTTAAGAGATGAGTTGAACTTAGAAATCAATAGAGACCTTGGAGAGGGTGAAATGGAAGATATTCTAAGATGTGAGGCCGAAAAAATTACTGCATTTCTGCAATAACACCAGAAGAAAATTGGTATTGGACAGACAGCTTGTATGACCACGTTACTGTAGAAAAATCAAGCAGCGATGAACCCAATTGTTCAGGACCATTAACTGCGGGTTCTATGGAGTTGAGTCTCCTTATTACTCCAACAAAGGCCTGAAAACTTGATGAATAAAGACAGATTTAGGATTGCAGCATGTTGGATGAGTCTCTGAACTTCAACTTCCAACAAGATAGGCAGAGGAGAAGTTCATATTAGCAGGATGTAAAGAGGTGTCTATTTAGTCAAACTGATACTACAGATTTCCTTCCTTAATTTAGCAATGCTAATAATTCAAGATGTTTCCTATTCATTTGTCCCATTTTCCAAGTATTGTCTAAAACGCGCTCAGTGCCAATAAGGATGTTCGATAAAATATAGAGTTAAATCTAAGATTACAAGACTCACAATACCTAACAAAAAACCCTTATGAAGATCAGAAACCTGACTTAGAAAACGATTCAGATTTGCATATGAAAGAATTTAACTCCCTCTCTTTAAAATACGAAATTTTATTCAGTTCATCGTTTTTCCAGTATCTTGACTTCCTAGCTGTAGAGCTAAGGGCCCCTGGGCAGACAATGCTGACAAGTGGCTTGCATGCTTTCTGGTGAAGTTAGCAAAATGGGCTCACTTAGCCGCTCCAATAGATGCTATTGAAATCCGTTCTGTATAGGCAAACAAAAAGGACCGGGAAGAAACACAATGGCGCGTTTCTGAAATGATCTTCAGCTCCTGTGAACTGAGCACAAGTCCACTGACACACATGCACACAATACTCCTGGATTATTATGAGAGGAAATGGAAAGAAAGTCTGCATTTGAAAATACGTAGAAGAGAGGAGGGCATAGAAAGTGAACAGTACCACAGAGACACATCGAAGGTGTTCGCGACATAAACCATCTATAGAATTCCTACGTGGACTGGCACATTTTCTACAGACAGACTGCGACCGAGCAAAAAGAGGCTCCTCCCCTGGGCTAGTGGGCAACTTTACTTAAACTCTTTGATGAGCCCTAACCTTTGCTCATCACCTGACAGTACAGAGTGTTGCACGGATTAAGCAAGTAGAGAGCGGTAAATTACCAAATACAAAATCCAGACCCCAAGGAGACATCAGAAAATGATCGGCGATTCCTTGACAACTCTCACAAATCATCCTCCTGCTCCCTGTCAGGACAATCTTTCTTAATGACATTGTTCTGTACTATATAACGTCACTTTGGCCAAATTGTTCATGCCTAAATGAATGGGATCCTTCAAGCAAGCAGAGTATGTTTTATGTTGCAGAAGGTTTAAAACTTCAAGTTACACCTCAAAGAGTAGAAGCTTATTTAATCCGTTTATTTTTACTTCATGCATTAAAAATGCATTTGGTATTTGAAGTAGGAAGTGTACTGAAGAGTTTCAAATTGTGAGACAACCACATTAACAAATTTAATTTGGATTTAATTTCTTTTCACAAGGAAATAGCCACACACATACATGCACACAGTATTCCTGTATTATTATGTTCATACGTATTTAATTATATTAGTTCACAAACATTAACATTTTTATCCCTATTGAAAAGACAAAGTAACTGTTCTGGGGTCAAAGTTCACCATCTAATGGGTAAGACAGAAGCAAATAATGACAGTACAATATTCGTAACTGCCACGAGCGACAGATCACAGCAGCAGAGTGGCGGAGCAACGATGGTTTCTGACTGGGGCCTGCGGCAGAGACTTGCCAGGGAAGGGCATTTGCAGCAGGTCTTCAGAGCTAAGGAGGAATTCACTGGGTGAGGAGAAGGCAGGGCAACGGGAAGCAAAGGGACCAGACAGGGAAGACATTTACGAGTAGGAAAGCCCGCATGTTTGCAGGGATCGTGAGGAGCTGGGCTTGCCTAGAGAGCAAAATCCAGTCTAAAAAAGGAGACTGGAAGCAGCAGCTCCTGGTGAGAACTGTCCATTTTGCCCCGTTGACGTGGGAGGTAATGCCTTCACTTCGAGGGATTCGCAGCTTCAGCCCCCACCCCTACGCCCCTTGCCCTGGTGCACACTGGCAGCAACCTACTTACACTTCACCCGAAACCAGTAAAGTACTCAAGGTCAGATTAAAAACAAAATTTGTATCTTAGCAAATACCCTTTACTTTTTTCATAATGCAACCAATTAGGAAAGTAATTTCTTTGTTATCTGAACATTCCTGATAATATTGTTGGGGGCGAGGTTTACTTTTTTCATGAAATTTTTGTGCAAACTTGGAGGCACATAAAAATCTTCCCATTTCCTCTCCATATTTGGAAGCTGTAGCATTTGGGGTCCATGTCATTCCAAAGAGTTTCATTCTGAGGATATTTCTGCAACTTTCATTTGTGTTGCGCCCAAATCAGAAAGGGACGCAAGCGTGTAAGAAAAATTTTCCCTGACTTTGGAGTTTATAAAGCCACAACTCCGGCCTGTTTTCAGGCTGCTCCTCCCTCCTTGTCCTGTTCTAATTTGCAGCATTCCACATCACTGCTCATTAACAACTCAAAGTTCCCTTCACATCAGTACAAATAAACAAACCCTTCCTCTCTTGAACCAGTGACATATTCTGAACACGTCTTCTCTCAGCTTTTATTGCTCTGCCAAGGTACCCCAGGAGTGGGAAGGGGTAAAACAGAGAGAGACATGGAGAGAGACAGAGAGAAAATATCCCACAACCTGTCCGAAACCTGGAGAGGATGATTCGTGTGCTTACTTACAGGGTATGACTGTCACTGTCAATCTGGTTTCAGGCCTAGATTACATGTGATAAGGGCTGACCTTCTTTAAGTATTCACACATTGTGCACTCAGAGAGCGGGGCAGGCCACAAAAGTCCTTCAGATGTTCTGGGCATCAATCAAGGACACAGCATGGAATCTGCCAAACTTTTCTTCCATTTACTCAGAGAGAAGAAAGATGGGGGGAGGGGCGGGGGTGTCCAAGACAGACTTATTAA